ATGTACCATTCTTCTTTCATGGCTGCAATATTTGCAACGGGATTCTCAAGGCTTTCTTCAACACACCCTAACAAAGTTTAAACCCGTTCAAGATAATTGTTTGGAGGGATCACCATTTTTTGTGAGTTTGTCTGATAAGGAGGTCAATGAGACGCATTCTAATCATTTGCATAGACTTTCTGTATTCCTGTTCCTACGGTGCTCCTTCACTTTGCTTTATTCAAGTAGACATACCGACAAGCAGTGTGAGTTTGATTGTAGAAAGAAAGCGATGGCAGAGATGTTTAAATGGATTGAACGACAGATTCCAGGCAATACATTTTCTGATCACAGAATTTATAGCAAGAAGAGTGTTGAATTTTCTGCATCCTTCGTTCGGCTGTTCATGCATGAGGTTTTGGGTTATCATTCTGTATTTGCCATTCGTATTTGGTGTTTTAGTTTAACACCATAGACTAGAGCTCTGTTATATTTTTTCTGTGTTTAACTGTAGGATGATCTATTATTTAAAGTCCTCCTGCAATTGCTGTCTGTACCATTGCATAGACAGGAACTGTAAGTAGGGTAAAACACTTGCCTTTCTGCAAACAGTTAACCAGATTTCTGTGATTTCTTATGGGAGTTTTTTACTTACAGGCCTAACGTGGAATGGGGTTCGCTTGAAGATGAGGAACAAATTACTCTATTCCGTTTATCAACTTTGTTCAATCCTGTAACCCTATTCTGTATATTTCTTTCAGAGGTAATTTTCATAAAACATTCACATAAGCGAATCTCTTGTGCTATGTTCCACGTAGGCTTAGGTTACATGTTCATCACTAATGAAAAATCCTTAATGTGATGCACCTCTGTTTTTAATTGTCAGCTGCATTATGATCATCAAGTACTTCTTGATTACCTTATATCTAAAGATATCGGGGCTAGCTGCGCAGAGTACCTGCTGAGGTTAATCGTTTTCTCTTAAGAATTTGCATATCAACTGTTCCATCTTGAGTATTAAAAATTGGATATGATCTGTTAGTTTATGTGAGACCAGCCATGTTAGCTCATACTTAGTCTTTGAATGATTTCCTGGTAGATGCTTGCGCGCAGTCTGTGATTCATGGACTCTATTTGTGGAATTCCCATTTGAAGGAAGTACAAATGCTTCATCTCCGAAGAGAAGAAAAGTTTTGCCTGAGACTTCTGAGGTTGAACAAAACTGGAGACTACACCCCCAGGCTTTTGAAGACGCCAAAGATTGTCTGCTTTCGTTACAAAATTCAGTTGTTAAGCTACATCAGAAAAAACTGTTTCCATACAACCCAGAGGCTCTTCTACGACGGTCAGTCTTATTTTTGCAACATGGAAACTCACCTACGCATATAATCAGCTAAATAAATCTTCCTCTATTGTGAAGCAGTTTGTCAAGGTTTCAAGAGCTCTGTCTATCCCCATGAGTTATTTATGTGGACCAAAGGTAAATCAGTTTGCATATATGGATTCATAAGAACTGTTATATGAAAATTGTCATATGCTTAATTATGATTTGGCAAATTATGTTGTTAAGCTATATGTTTGTGGGTCGCGGTAATTAGGAAGTCAGAGTCAACAAATTAAACCTCTCTGTTAGCTGCTAGATAAGTCTCTAACCTCTCAATTTGGTGCTTCTCAGGTGAGATTCTCTGAGACAGAAGGATCAGATGCCAACACAAAGAAGTCTCCTTTCCAGATCAAATCTCAAACTAATCGGCTCACTAGTAGAAGTGTATGTAAGTTTGAGAATCTCATGTCTAATCGAATTTTCTTGGGGTTCTGACACAAGTGTAGCTGACATGAGCCGTGTTTCTGCAGAGAGATCCTACATTCTTTGGTTGGTGCAGCTGCTATGAAACAGAGAGCATTATGTTCTTGCCTCCACAATCCAAAATCTGCATGGTATAAGATTCTCTCTAGTCAAGCTAATGTGAAACTGCCCCTGCCAAATACAGTAAGCAATGAAATGTCGAAAGTACAGTGTAGAATATCAAGAATCACAAATATTGAAACTCTCTTATTCATATCATAGATGTAACTGAGCCCAAATCATACATTGTTATCATTTTACATTTAGTTATATTTCGCTGCTATTTCCTGTAGCAGTTGAGAAAGCTCATGAGGCTTAGTGAGCATAGCCATGTGACCAGCTTCTTCAATCCGCTTAACTTCGTGAGGCTCGTAGTTACTAATCATCCACTTCTGAATCTCCTCTGGAAGCACATTGTCGCCTTCGCAAACAATAAACACTCTCTTCCCAGATCCATACCTCTCCTTTGTTATCAGATCTTCACCTCCCATTTCCTTAGTGTATAACCAGCTCGGTTTCACCAACGCCATGGCTAATTCTAGATCCTGCAATCAGATTACCAAACAGTGACCACCTGATCTAAGACTAACTATCCCATAATCATAACTGTTGAGTCACCTCTAATTGGCAATTACTATATGCCTTCTCCTTCAAGAAACTAGTACCGAACAAAACTGAACTTGGAGGATGTTCTAGTCCTTCCTCGAATGTAAACTCACAATCCATAGCGAAACCCTCTGGTAGTCTCGTAAAATACTGCGAACAAACAGAAAGTGACAAGAGATTATAAGATAAGGTCCTAAGAATGGTCCCAAACAAGATAAGATAAGAGAGAGATCTTTTTTCCGGCGACCTCTTGTATCAAAACCGCTGGAGGAGAGTCATGATGCGGCATGTAAGCAGATAGGAAGATTCCGACAGAGACTTCGGTCGGAAACCTTTCCATAGCAAGAGAGGTTCCAATGCCACCATAGCTATGACCAACAAGAACCACTTTCTCGTTTTCAGGAAGAGACTTCATGAAACTCATCAAAGGCTCTAAATACTCCGACACCAAACGAACCTCATGGAGCCGCCTCGTGTCGACACCGGACCCACCAAGGTCGATAGCTGTCACACGGTGACCATCGAGCTTGAGCTTTGCAGCTAGTTTGAACCAGCACCATGCTCCATGACATGAGCCGTGGACAAAGACGAAGTGATGGAGTTGTTGTTGTTGCTGCATGTGGTGTGTTTGCATTTGGTATTGTTTGGTAAGTCATGTTATCTTTGTCCATTCGTGTGTTATATATACATCACAGGGCACATAGTTTTCTGGTTCTGCTTAATCGGTTTAATTTCTGGTTTACCAATCCGACCTTATTTGGACGGTTAGGATGCGTGTTTATTTGTTTATGATTCCAAGAAGGCAAGAATAATTATAAGATTAAGGAAAGAAATCTTTAAAATCTAAAAATGGGGTGAATCTCTTAATATTTAAAGGTTGCGTTATACTGGTCAAGGTTTATAATTTATGTTTTATAGTTTGGTTATAATTACAATTTATGAAAACATTCTAAAGCCATTTATAATGGACCATAGTCTTAGTCTAATTATATATATGATTCCATATTTCTTAGTTTGTGATACGAAATATATCATACTTTATGTAAGAATGATGATTACCTCTTGTTCGAGGTTTGTCTTTTATGAAATAAGTTTAACTAGATTACGATTCGTATGTACATAAAGTCGTCGGAAAAAGTAGAATTTCTAATTAGTGGTTTAATTAATCTTAATTAGTGGAGTAATTGATATTATGAAGTAGAAAAGAGTCACACAAACAAAGAATTAAATATTAGTCGGTTAATTAAGGGTTTCACGCAAAAAAAAAATGACTTTTTTGTTAATCAATTGAAAGAAAAGTATTGGACGGTTAAAGTTAAGCACGTGGGAAAGCAATATGCAAAGGCATTGTAAAATCAGAAATCCATAATGACAAATATGAAACTATTCAACATTTTTTTTTCTTGTATCTTTCTCTTTAAATCTTCTTTTTTTTTTATTTCTCTTTAAATCTTGTCAGTGCAAGTCAGAACAGTTAATAATGACATTACTCGGCAATTAGGCCATTGCAACTTTTTCGAGTCAATTTTTGGTTATCTAAACGTTACGAGAAAAATGACAACAAGAGAAATATAACGTATGGGACAACAATAAAATAGTCAGAACTTGACGCATAGTTTTTGTATGTTAAGTTTTCCGTTTGAGTTTGTCCAAAAAAAAAAAAAAAAAAAAAAAAAAAGTTTTCCGTTTGAGATATTATTTTTTCTTTAAAAATTGGTAGTGGCTCAACAATTCTCAAACAAATTTCATATTTTAACAATGTATATCATAATATTTTCTCAATAAATACTTATCTTAATATACATAAATGATCAGTGCTTTTCATCGCCGACAAAAAAAAATAGTGCTCTTCATTTTTACAAAATCTTAAAACTTTCTTTTAAAGAGTTTTAGATAGTCTAAATTTTCTACATTTTTTTTTTATAAACCCTATCAGCTGATCCGGTCAGCCCCGGTAGAAACGCACCGAAATATTTCAGAGTGGACTACATATTTTAAAACATGCAATATCTTTAAAAATTGATAGATCCAGAAGAATATAACACATGTCTTAAGCTCATCAATCCAATATATATGCAAGTTTTTTTTCCTTTCTACAATATCCTTTTAGTGGTACTACTAAAAGATCATTTTTGGGGGTTATTTTGCTTAAGAATGAATAAATTTTGAACTTGGAAGGAAATCCAACTACGCAAGTACAACCCAATGCCAAAATAAAGTCTCAAAGAGAAAAAGAAGAAAAACAACAAATAATTCATTACGGGAAAGTTTAAATGACAACCTAATAATGGAAATAGTCTAAAAGCTTGAGAGCACTAAAAGAGAAAAGAGAAGGAAACAAAGAGTTGAAATAGACGAGACATATAAATATCTATGTTAGCACTTACAGTAACATGTCCTACATATAGAAAGACAATAGATCTATCAATAACGAATGACCTCAGAAGAAGACTGTTACGATCATCAAGAGGCACTTTCAACAGTAAATGCAACTAAAAAAATATGTGTGCAAGATGAGTTAAACCTTGATCGTTGTGGGATAAGCCACAAGCGGTTTGAAGCATCAAAGATTCTTTCGGAGATTTCTATGAAATGATACAGAGAAGATTAGCATGGCTCCTATACAATGATGACACGAGAAATGATCCAAAAAAAATTGCTAACTAGTTTTAAGTTGGAAGCCCATAATTCCTAATATTGGGCCAATCTAGCTCTGATATCAAAAATCATGAGTTTCCAACTTAAACCCAGTTGACAATGAGTAGAAAGCCTCATAAACATTATATATTAGAGTAAAAATACTCTATTTATCGATGTGGGACATTTTAATAAAGACTGATCTACCTGGAGAAAGTGATTTTAGAGGACGAACATGACACCGTCGTTGATTGCAAGAACTCGAACATTTTCTTGTTTATGAATCATAATGATTTTGGGATAAGACCTCTTGAAAAGATTGTATAAGCAAGGTCCTACCACAGCCTCTTTCCTCATCAGATGCTTCTACAGTCACTTGGTAGAGAAGATGAGAACAAGATAAATATCACTTTCCACAATGAATAGCACATGTTTAACACAAGGGTCTACATCTACTTTTCAATGGTGGGACTTTCCCAATTTGGGATTTTGCAGCCTGTGGCACATTGAGATTTGATTAACCATATCGTTCAAAATTTTGTTTCTGACCCATGATCCTTGCTTTGCGTTTTCACTTCACAGAAAGTAAAATCTATGTCATTGACAAAAACAATCACAATGTTATTAAAATTTGCTCAATCCTAACTTGATCAGGTTACATAACAACACAACCAGAGGCCCATTTAGTAACTTTTAAAAGCCCAAAACAAAATATTTGTTGCCCTTATTATTACACGATGTTGATATAATAATTAATAAGTTGATCATAGACCCCCATCACCACGCGCTTAAACAAGAACTCAATTCTGATGGCAAAAAAAAAAAAAAAACAAGAACTCAATTTCCCTATAATTTTGGAAATTTCTGACGGTGGAGCTCACACGCTATATGTGCGTCTGGGTGTTGGATACATGAGATTATATACTAACATTTGTTCACAACAAAGTCAAAAGATTCTCTAATCGTGTTTCTCTAATTACAAAATCAGAGCAACTTGAAAAAGTTAATTCAAGTATGTGTATTTACTTAGAAATAAAGTATTTGTTAACAAAGAACATTTCCACATAGATTCATACATAAATTAACCTCCGACAAGAAGCTAAAGCCAACCATCTTAAAATCCTTCTATAATCTTGATTAGTCTCCATATAATCAAAGCTTTAAAGCTTCTGAAGAAAATGCCTCTTGTTGAGCTTTTTGCAGGTGCTGCTCTTGGATTTGCCCTCCAACTCCTTCACGAGGCCATCATAAGAGCCAAAGATAGATCCTTAATCACAAGATGTATATTGGACCGTCTCGATGCTACAATCTATAAGATCACTCCATTTGTCATTAAGATCGATACGTTCACCGAAGAAGTCGATGAACCTCTGAGGAGAGTCATCGAAGAGCTTAAATGTCTTCTCGAGAAAGCCATTCGTCTTGTTGAGGCTTACGCAGAGCTTAAACGCAGAAACTTACTCAGGAAATATAGGTTTGTGAATGTCGTTAATCATTTCTATATGGAAATGTAATGTAGTGTTAAAAATACCAAAAAATATAACCTATCAAAATCTATTATGTTTAATGTAATGACATGCAAAAATGTTTTTGTTGTTGTGAATCTTTCTTTAGGTACAAGAGAAGAATCAAGGAGTTGGATGCTTCTTTGAGATGGATGGTAGATGTGGATGTTCAAGTCAATCAATGGCTGGATATCAGAAAACTTATGGGTAAGATGTCTGAAATGAACACTAAACTCGATGAGATTACGCGTCAACCAATAGATATAATCGAAGCAGTTGATCGATCTTCTGAAGAAGATGGATGCTCAAAGCCAAAGATTGATATACACTTTAAATGGAGAAAACAGACCAAAGAGCACGAGATTCGGTTCGTCTTCAAATGATTATTAATGTAACGATCGTGTCCTAGACCACAAAATGTTTTTTTAGAAAAAAAACTCAACAAATGTGATCCTTTAGAAAAGTTATAGTTTTTGAGTGTTGTAATTACGGTAAGTGAATGTGTGATCTATATTATTAGTTTACCAAACATTTTATTCTTATTATTTTTCTTAAGCTTTTTATAATGTTATATATTACTGGAAATATTATAACATATGAATTATTTCACTTTGTCCAAAAAAAAAAAATGAATTATTTCACAACTTTGAGCTTTATAAACTTCTGAGAATATTCCAATGGTTGAGAAGAAAATGAAGTCTTGCGCTGTTTATATACAAGATCTATTATTAGATTGAACATCACGTAACTTATGTTCATACACAAAATGATTTGAAAACATTTTATATGTCTTCATCAATTGATTGCAAGACAATTCACTACGAGGCAGAAATCTTCCAAACTCTGCATGGGCACATATATATCAGTTTGCACACATGAGATAAAAAATGTGTATCATAAGTACTCTCTATAACAGTTGACATTTGGTTATCCTTCTTATGGGTCACAAACTCACTATCATATGCGGAAACATATATTTTCACTTGCATTAACAACTAAATTAAAAAAATTAATTTTCTTTTATATTTTTAATCTAAACTTGGCTAAAAGAGTTTTTGTTTATATGTGACAGAAGCGAAAAAGTCTTAAAAATGAAACAATTATGGAAAATGTTAATTTTTGATCAATAGATTTTTCATATGATAGTCATTTTAATATTTCACGATAATGTCAATATAGAATATAGAAAAATTCTACCAATATTTTATTTAAGTTTTGTAATATATAAGAATGGACCACAAACCGTTTGGATATTTCAGCATATGTCAATGTATGAATCCTACGTTCAAAGTCGATCATTTAGAATATGATAATCTTACCTTCTTTTCTTTAATTTCATATGTAAACTTGAAGCCAACAAATTAGTCGCCATTGAGAATGATTCACTGCTCGCTCTTCTTTTCTTTAATTCCACAATCACAACAAATTGAACAAAATATTAATCTTTACCAGAAAAATTTAATCCTCATTGAGACGGTTTCTCTGCTCCTTTTTTTCTCTAATTTCATAATCACAGCAAGTTGGAAAAAATAAATCCAAATAAGTGCTTTTGTCCAAAGACTAATTCCATATAGATTCATTCATATACTAACCTTGCGATTGAGAGCTAAAATCTCTTTGTAAATTAATTAAGCCCTATAAAAAATCTTTACGAAAATGCCTCTTGCCGAGATTATCGCAGGAGCTGCTCTTGGACTTGCTCTCCAAATCCTTCATGAGGCCATCCAAAGAGCAAAAGATAGATCCTTAACCACAAGTTGTATCTTGGACCGTCTTGATTCTACAATCTTGAGGATCTCTCCATTGATCGCTAAGGTCGAAAAGCTCGGAAAAGAATCCGATGAATCTATGAGGAAAGTCATCAAAGATCTTAAACATCTTCTCGAGAAAGCTGTTGTTCTTGTCGAAGCTTATGCGGAGCTCAAACGCAGAAACTTGGTTGGAAAGTATAGGTTTGTGAATCTTTTTATGTTTTATCATATATATACACATGAAATAATGAAATTTTTATCTTAGATACATGAATACTTCTATATATCCGCGGTTACTTAATTTCCCAACATTATATAGACACGTAATTAAACAAAACCTATCATTTTTTTGTTTCATGTATGTATTTAATTACATACTAAAGTGTAATGTTGTTTTAGGTACAAGAGAAGAATCAAAGAGTTAGAAGGTTCATTGAAATGGATGGTAGATGTTGATGTTAAAGTGAATCAATGGGCAGATATAAAAGATCTCACGGCCAAGATGTCTGAAATGAACACTAAACTTGACGAAATCATGCGTCAACCAATAGATTGTACTATATCTGATGAGGATAATACTAATCTGGACATAGTCGAAAGAGTTGATCCATCATTGGAAGCCAAATCTGGATGCTCAAATGGCGATTCTAAGCCGAAGATCGATATCCACCTTCGATGGAGCAAGAAAAGCAAAGATCACGGAGTTCGATTCGTTTTGAATTAGTTTTTTTTTATGTGGTATGTGTAATAGACCACAAAAATTTGAGAAAGAAAATAATCAAATGTTAAAAAAAATAAGTTTCTATTTACTAATATTATGTTATCATACATATAACGTCTGCTTTGTATAAATACAAAATAAGATTGGTTGCAACTAATTTGTAAATTAAGATTTTTGGATATTTATAATGCTAGTGTACAAGTCAACGATTAATCCTACCTACAAAGTCAATCATTGAGATTGATTCATTCTTCATCTTCGTAATTTAAAAATGACAACAACTTGCATATAGATCTAATAATCTCCTTTCACCTAGAAAGAAAGAGAGTCGGCCAATTCTAAGTCTTCAAGTCAATGTCTCTTGTCTTCATATAGTTCATCAAAAACAACAGGTTTTGTTAAACAAAAGATTCTTCAATGGTTCCAAGTACATAGATTCCTCCATACATTCACGTTGAGAGCTAAAGAGCTAATCTCTCGATCCTAATCACTATTAATCTAATCTTAAGAATAATGCCGGTTAGTGAGCTTATGGCAGGGGCTGCTCTTGGACTTGCTCTCCAAGTCCTTCACGACGCCATCAAAAAAGCAAAAGATAGATCTTTAACCACAAGATGCATCTTGGACCGTCTTGATGCTACAATCTTTAGGATCACTCCGTTGGTGGCTAAAGTCGATAAGCTTAGCGAAGAAGTGGAAGATTCACCAAGGAAAGTCATCGAAGATCTTAAGCATCTCCTTGAAAAGGCTGTTTCTCTTGTCGAGGCTTATGCAGAACTCAGACGCAGAAACTTACTCAAGAAGTTCAGGTTTGTATACATTACATGAAATTCATGAATTCTTTTGATTTATACGAAGTTTCCTTATTTTCTTAAATTAAATTAATAGTTTAGAAACATAGCTTCTTCTTTTGTTACTATTTGAAATAGCATAAAAATATGGATACCATTAAAATCTTAGATTGATATCCTGACTTACAGTGATTAATTTCATGGGTGTTTTTAAATAAGATCTCTTGGATTAGGGATGGTTTACTTCAGGTTCGAA